GTTTAGGGTTTAGGGTTGAATTTAGGGTCGTAAGAAGCGAGCCTGAGTGGTTGGTAAGACTGTTCTTACGGCAGGTCAGCACTAGTACTCGTTGTAATATAGGGGCCTGAAGACTTAGTAAGACTCTTCCTCTAGAGTCCTGTTATAATGCATAGTTTTGTTGCAGTTCAATATGTCAGCAGTAGTCTTACTGTAGTAGCTATGTTCCTTTATGTGCTACTTCTAGTCCTTCTGACTCAGCATGAGCATTACTTGTAGTACAGGGGCCTGACTATTTTATGCCCCCTTTTGGTCCTTACATAGTTACACGCCCCACCCGGTGGGCCCGAAAAGATGTACCAAAGTCCTTCAGCCCCACCCGGTCCGCCACGAAGAAGTGGGCTGTGAAGCATTCAGGAAATCCTACAGCCCCAACTTCCAAAATTCCTTCAGCCCCATATTCTGAGCATTGAGGACAGCGTTTATGCAACAGCGTTTGCATAACACTTTATGAAAGAATGCATGCTTGCTAAGTCCTGGTCGGTGTCATGCAAGATGCCGCGGCCGTTGTCCTTGTTCATTCCCGCTCACGATTCCTCTCAGGTAAAGCAACTGCGAGACGCTTACGAACGAATGGAACGTTCGTCTACACCAACACCAAGGTGCAATTGCGTTTGCGTGGGCGCTGACTTCGACAACTGTCTCATGTCTTTCCAGAAACAGAATGCCGAGCATGCAGTGCAAGGCCACTACGATTCGAAATTCGGGCGTGGGAGCGGTAGAGTTTGTAGCGCCATGTTCGCTCAGGCGCCCTGCTTCGTCGGATCAGGGACGGCCGAAGGAACAGCAGACCATTCAAGTTTTCCAAGTTTCAGAATGCTCCGGCTTCCCGCTTCCGAGTTCTGAATCCGTGTCCTTGCAGTTTGGATGTGTGCGTTGACGCAACTGCAGCTACAGAGCAGGGGGCCAGCTTGCTTCAGAGGCGTCAGGGATGCGTTCTGCTCGAAATGATGTAGCACATCGTAGCCGTTCATGCAACTGCCTCTAAGCCAGAGAGGAGCAAGTCAGCTGGGGCAAAGCATCTGTGGAAGCCTCAGGGGTGAGTGTACACCACAAATGCACTCGCAACCGGTGGAGTGACATCAACGTGCAGAGACGCAGTGTCGAGCATGCTTCAGGCAAGATAAACATGTTGCACTGCAGCGAAGTGAACTCGATTGATAGTGACCCTGCCATAAAGTATGCGAACGTCACTATATAATCATAAACTTTTTTGTAGACCCGATGGAGTGGATCCGTAAAATGGCCTAAATTTCAGAGGCCCACCAGTTGTTTTGGAGCTGCTGCCTGCTCTTGAAGCTTGTGAGTGTGACAGGGGGCCCCTGCTACCATGAGCTTGCCAACGCAGGCAAGCGTGTATCCTAAAAGGGTGTTCCAGGAGTTGATTTTATATCTACTTAGGAGATAGAATATATAATATTCTACCCTAAACCCTAAACCCTTAACCCTAAACCCTTACAACCCTAAGCCCTAAATGTGATTCAAGGTTTCAGGATTTTCTGAGTTGGGGATTTGAGACTTTTGGGTTTGAAAGGCTGTTGGTGCTTTAGGATTCAGCAGCAGGGTTTAGGGTTTAGGGTTTAGGGTTTAGGGTTTAGGGTTTAGGGTTCAGCAGCAGGGAATTATGGTGTACAGCGTTGGGCTTAGGCATAATACAGGGGCCTAAATAATTACCAAGACCATTTTGGGGGGCTCGTTATTACAGTGATAATCGTATAAGGGGCCCCAAAAACTTATTGAATTCTTGAGGCCCCGATAGTCGGCATACCTTGACAATCGTCTCACCCAGCTGCCTCTTATCTTCCTTTGAAAATGACAGGCTGGTAAGTGTAGGGAGGAAGGATCTGCAGGAACTGTGGTAGCTTGTTGGGGTTCTGGGCTTCAGAGTTTAGGGCGTTGGGGGTTTCGGGTTTTAGGGTTTGGGGCTCAGGATGTTAGAAGGTCTGCGGGGTTTAGGGCCGTCAAGGCTACTCCAGAAGCTGCTTCACCGATGACTCGTCTCGTGACAGGGCATGGTGTTCCTTTAGAAACAAAAAAGCAGTGCCGAATGTTTGTACCGAACCTCCTGGGCCTTGCTCAAGCACCTTGCATTCTGCTTTCGTTTTTGGGCTTAGGGGTCCTTATTAATGATGCATTATAGTAGAACATACCCCCAAAAGTCGTATTCTATTCAGGGCTTTTACGGCTTATAAGGCTGATTTAGGTTTTGCAGGGCTTTTAGATCCGACTGCAGGCCGGTGCGTCGCGCTGTGGAGGTGGGTTGCTGAACTACGATACATCATAGACCCAACTCTCATAGAATGACTGCTTATCACGTTTAGGGTTATGAAAGCATTAGGTTGCAGTACCCTAAACCCTAAACCCTAAACCCTAAACCCTGAACCCTAAACCCTAAACCCTAAACCCATAGTCTATGCCATTCTGCAGCATGTCTAGATCTGCATGCTCTGAACAGCTGTCGGCCCCATGTCTGCTGCAATGATGAATGACGGAACTGAAGAAGGAGAATTACAGTAGGATCCATGGTAAGATCCCGCAAAAGCATGTAAGGGGTTCTTAATCGGGACCCTACATGAATGCCAGACTCCATCGTAGGTGTCCCTCGGCGCAATGTGGAGGCGCGTGCGAATGCGTGCAGACTTATATAGCCTTGTGTAGGCTACTTATAACCCTGTTTGCAACCTGTTCGACCTCCGAAACATTGCAGTGTGCCAGCAACTGCGGTTTCGACAGTCCGCGAAAGTTGCATTCATACCGTATACACATATCTATGTGTGAACATACTCTATGTGCTACTGCTACGATAGATCCGATAGATGTCAAGGTTCTTTGTATACATCTGTATATATGTCTGTATGCCCTTTAAATAGGAAAGGAAAGCTCAGCGGTGTGTGCCGCGGCTCGGAGGATGATTCGGAGTTCTCGCCCTTCCGGCGCGGGAAGAAGGACCTGGCCGGGTCGCAGCCTAGAGATCTGTCTTCGCAGTCTCCTCCCCCGTACAAAAACACACACATGCACGAAAAGACAGAACCTGCTATACTGCTACCCATAGGCCCCATTGCCATTCCTTTTGGGGTTCATATTTAGAATCCTATCAGGTAATCCCAAAAAGGAACTACTGTGGGGCCTATGGGTATGTTGGGGGTTCCTTATTTCAATTGTAGTATAATGGGCCTCAAAACCCCTGTTCGAACTAGTAAGGCCCCTACAT